TTATTGTAGAGATGAGGTCTCGCCAAGTTGCCCGGGCAGGTCTTGAACCCGCGGGCTCAGACAATCCACTCACCTCGGCCTCCCAAACTGCTGGGATTACAGACTGAGCCACCGACTCCGGCCACTTGCAAGCATTTACTGATCAGCCATGACCAGCCAAGCATTTAGTGGAACAGCACGGGGTGAACCACATATGGCCCTTGTCCTCAGGAAGAAAGAGTGTGATATGGGCAAAAACAGAGGCCTTGGAATCAGACCTGGGTTTAGATTCTGTCTCTACCACTGATCGACCTTGAGGAGACTTAAGTCCACAGAGTCTTTCAATGCAAACCAGAAATGGTGCACTCTCCGGGCTGACATAGTTGGGTGGGTACACAGCACAGCCAGCGGAGCCGGTGGCCAGACATCCCTACAAAGGGAATCATGTGCACAACCGTACCTGGTGGCCCTGGCCTTGGGGATGTTATTTACTTGCTCTGGGCCTTGGTTTTCCTAAAGTTGAGAGAAATAGGGGAGATAATACACACAAAGTGTTAAGCAAGAGTACGAAACACACGCATTAAAGGCTCAAGGGAGTCTCACAAAGAATTCGGGGCCGAGAGGACGTCAGCATGTGTTGAGCCCTGTGCCGGAGAATGGTGCCAGTCACTTCTGCATAAAATACCTTATTTAACCAGGGTAGCTGCAAAGCTGGCATGTGTTAGATGGCCGCAGATGCTCCCCATTTCCTACAGGAAGAAAACTCCTGAGCCCCGCGTGCCAACCTGGCCTCCGCTTACCTCTCCAGACTGGTCTAACGAGCCCCCTCCTCACGTTTAAGTCACACCAAATGCCTTTCGGGGGACTCCTTGCCTTCCTGAGCACTGCCACGGGCAGGACCATGCTTCTTCCTTGGCTTCTCGACAAACTCTTCCCAGACCACCACCCTTCAAGACCCCACACCACCCCATGCGCTGGGCCTTCCCGGTAACCATTTCCTCGACACCCAGCCCACTGCAGAATAGGGCAGGGCCGACCCCTCCGGGGTGTCCTGGGCCCCGTTTTCTCTCTTTGAGTCGGAGTCTCGCTCCGTCGCCCGGGCTGGCGCGCATCCGGCCCCCCGCAGCCTCGA